ATACACAGATGGTACTTCACTCCATCCAAACTTTATAGAATGGGAATCAGTCCCAGTAATATATGCTGGAAATGTAGTTCAGATCCAGGGACATTTATGCATGCTATTTGGGAATGTGGGAAAGTTTATCCCTTTTGGCAAAAAGTATTGGACAAAATAGGAAGGTGGATTGGTTTGATAATACCCTTGTCCCCAAGACTGTGCTTACTAGGGGATCGGTCAGTGTTACCTGGGGTTTCAAAATATGACTTTGTGGTTATAAAGGTGGGGGTGATTGCAGCGGCTCGAGTTATTCTCAGTGTTTGGAAGGAACCATCTCCTCCAGAATATAATAGGTGGAAAGAAAATATGCTGAAAATGGTGTTGTATGAAAAATCCTTGGCTAGGATTAATGATGATAGGGAGGGTTTTGACAAATCATGGGGACGTGCTTTTGGTTGAGATGGTTGGAATTTATTTGGTCAGGGGAATTATCTTTAGTTACATTTTGTGCTTGCTGCATTGTGTGTTTGTGTAGGCACTCAGTAATGGAATAACTTAAGAATTTGATTTTATTGTCCTTTTTTTGTGGGTGTACCGATAGTAAGTATTGAAAATAGACCCAAAATACAAAGGTGAATTAACCATGGGATTGGAAGCTGTCTTTTCTTTTTTCTTTTCTGTTGTTGTTTTGTTTGTTGTTTTGTTTATGTTTTCATGTGGTTAAATGTTAAAAACAAATAAAGACTTCAATTACAAAAAAAAGAAAGAAATATCCATAAGACCTGGTTTATGTTCAGGACACTTCACTCATGTTGCCTCACGATGACAATTTTAACATTTACTTCATGCAAACAATCTCACAGAACTGCTTTCCAACTAGCATTGAACTGTTTAATTACATTTTACCCCTTATTTTCAAATTAAATCTAATAAATCTGCAGCTTTAATTCTATGACTGTCTTATTATTTTTTTCTATACTGTACCTCCATTGCATTTCAGTACCTCTGTTTTCTCTCCCATAGTTTGTGCTATATTCTTTCTGTCCTCACTCTCATTCTCTGTCTCCCTGTTTCTGTATTTAGATGTTTTTTGGCTCTGGAGCTGCACTTTCCTGATATTTGGTTACCAGGCCTCACCAACCTGGTGAGTATTTACTGTTTCTCAGTGGTTTTAGTTTAATATTCTTGTGCATACTGGTTTAACAAAAATAGCCTTATTCTGCTTGAAGTTTGTTCCTGATTTTGTGTTATTCAAATGTTGGGTATCCAAATACTGGTCCAAATTTACACCAACTGTGTACATCACAAACAGTATAGCATCAGTGTAGGGGATGGACATCAGCCATGATAGCTGTGAAACATCTGAAGCTCACATTAGACACTCATACTCTACAATGTAGGCAACAGAATATAGTTATTTATTTAAATTCTCTGTCACTGCAGGTGTCCAACATAACACGTTCAAACTAGAATTTAGATTGGAATAATATTTATAATTTCATTTACTAATGTTGGGGGCGATCGTGGCTCAAGAGTTGGGAAATCGCCTTGTAATCGGAAGGTTGCCGGTTCGAGCCCCGGCTCGGACAGTCTCGGTCGTTGTGTCCTTGGGAAAGACACTTCACCTACCGCCTACTGGTGTTGGCCAGAAGGGCTGATGGCGCGATATGGCAGCCTCGCTTCCGTCGGTCTGCCCCAGGGTAGCTGTGGCTACAACTGTAGCTGCCTCCACCAGTGTGTGAATGGGTGGATGACTGAGTGTGTAAAGCGCCTTGGGGACCCTAGGTGGGACTAGTAAAAGTGCTATACAAATACAGGCCATTTACCATTTAATGTTATTTTATTATTAGATTAATATTGCACAAGTTTCAGCTACCTACAAAAAACAGTTAATAACATTACTTTTACTTTCTTTAACTGGAGTATTTTCAAACACAGGTATCTGTACTTCAACTTAAGTAAAGGAAGTCTGTACTTTTGCCATCTCTGGTTAATAATTAATTAGCCAGATAAGGTGTGGCCTTAAAAAACCTCGGCATGCCGAGCCACGCATCATTATTATCACCACGAGTGATTTCAAACGCAGAAATCGGCTAGTTTGGATTGTTTCAAAAATGCCTCCTTTTTTAAATTATGCATCAGCACCATGTTTATACCTTTTGATATTATTGGCCAGGTGTTTACAGGCTTGAGCTTTTCTCACCACTGCAACACGGACTGGATCTTGGAGCGTGCACCCAACCTGATGGATGAGAGACAAAGAAATCTCACCATTCCAGTGAACGAGGATGGCGGATTTGAGAACTGTAAAATGTTCACGCCTGTGGACTGGGATTTGGAAACCATTGAAAAATATGGTATTAACACCACAATAGGATGTGTAGATGGGTGGGACTATGAGGCTGCACCAGGTGTCTCCACCTTGACCTGTCTGGTGTCTAAATCCAATCGAGAATCTGTGGCAAGATCTGAAAACTGCTGTTCACAAACGCTGTCCATCTAATCTGACTCTTCATGGCTGTCATTGCTTAACAAAGGATGTGATCTATTAACTTACTTTGTTCACATTAAAGCAGAAATAAACCATTATGCTTATTTTTGTTTATCTTACAGCCTTGGAATGGACTGATCCCTCAAAGTCTGCATTTCCACAATGTCCATCACAGCTTTCTTCGCTGTTGGACAGATTCTGAGGCCTATTTGATCCAAAACTGGAGAATCCTGCAGCTAGTGCTTTTCTACCCTCTGATCATTGTCCTGGTGGCTTTTTATAGGTCAGAAGCTTTTCACATCATAATGAACATATTTTTAAATTGCTGAAAACTAAAAGCTCATACAGGTTTGAATCTGCTTTTTAACAGGCTGTTGCCAGAATCAGCTCGATGGCTGATCACTCAGGGCAGGAAGGAGGAGGCACTAAAGGAGCTCCAGCGGGCAGCCAGAGTCAATAAGAAAAAAGTACCAGAAGATGTCCTAAACAATGTGAATAGCATGTAACACAGAGAACTTTGGTTTATCCATATGATATCAATGTTTTCTAAAGATTCTTTTCCACCTTCAGATAGAGATGGAGACTGCATCTGAAAGAAGAATTGTACTGGACATCTTCCGCATTTCATATCTGAGAAAACGTTTTCTGATAATGGGTTTTGACTGGTGCGTCTTCTCAAATGGAAATCACATGCATGCTGTATTCTTTAATAACTAAAGAATAAATCACAAAAACAACTTGAAACTAAAAATATCACTGTGACCTCTAACTCTAGGTTTGCATCAAGTCTTCTGTTCTATGGACTGAGTCTGAATGTAGGAAACTTTGGCCTGAATATTTACCTCACACAGTTGATCTTTGCTGTTGTTGAAATTCCTGCAAACTTGTGCGGTTTGACTCTAATTCAGCGCTTTGGAAGGAGGATATGTCAAGCGTGTTTCCTACCCTTTGGAGGTACCGCTTGCCTTGTGGTCCTTGCTGTGCCAAAAGGTATCTTCCAGATCTAAAATGTATTGTTATAATTTTTTTTAAAAAGTCACTCGAGGGCTGAGTTTTCCATGTGATTTTCTACTGTTGCCCTATCAGATCTTTCCGTGGTGGTAACACTCTTAGCTGTGCTCGGGAAATTTTCTGCCACTGCTTCTTTCAGCACAGCCTACGTTTATACAGCAGAATTATACCCCAGAGTTTTAACGTCACTCACCAGCAGTGATTCTGGTAACAGCAAGATTTTCTTTTCTTTGTGTTTGTTTTAGTACATAATCTTACAGTGAATTTTACAGCAACATGTTCTGCTAAGTGTCGGTTTGATTGATTTTTCGAGCTAATCAGTAAAATGTAAAGCATTGCAAAAATCACCTCAGTTTGTGTTTGTGCAGGCAGAATGGTGTAGGTCTGGACTCCATGTGTGCTTGAGTGGCGGGTATCATCCCACCACTGATCAGGCTACTGGAAAGCTACCATCCCATCATCCCAATGCTAGTATATGGCATTGTCCCTGTTGTTGCTGGAGGTTTCTCTTTGCTGCTGCCTGAAACCCTCAATGTTGAATTTCCAGATCACACTGAACTCAAGTAAGATCAATAGTATCTCTCCTGATACTGATATTTGTATAAATGCATTATCAGTAAGTGTGTTTCTTCTTCTTTTTTTTGACTTAGAAACCCAGCGAATGAAGCAAAGGGAGACGGATATTGTGCTGAAGAAGTTGAAGAACACAAACTATAATTTTTACTGACACCATAATGGGACTAAGTATAAATTTGTTATGTTAAAAACTGAAATGTACAGTGTATTAAGTGGCTAATCATTAGTTATTGAAAGAGAATTTCTCAGTTTTTATATTAACTTCTAAATGTGTACAAAAAATGGATATAGCCATATATTTAGTTATGTTTTTGTGTTACAACAAACATGCTGAGATCCATACACATCATTTACAGACAGAGGAATTGGGCTAAAAGTTAACCGTGTCTGTAATCAGAGCAGTTTTCCACAGATAGCGTAACTTATTTCAGTTGTCTGCATGTACAGAAGTATTTTTTTCCATGTTTTTGTCTCTTGCACTAAGGTGAAACCTTTTTTTTATGCAAAGTGTTTTGTTAAATGTACTGGATAAATAAAATATAGCAAGTTACCGCCTGGTGTTTTGAGTGATATGTCACCTACTACGATAAAGTGAAGTGGGAAGGAAGAGAGAGGACTGTTTTTACAGCCTTTGGTTGTATTGGTTTAAATATTAATTAGATGTATTTGTGGAGGTAAGAACTGGGGATGCAACACTTTAATGTGGAGGCTCTGCTGCCAGTTGGAAATTTAGACAAATCCCAAAACCAGAGGAGAGTCAAGATTTTGGTTTTATTTGGTTTCTTTTTGCTCTTTCCGTGCTTGTGTAAAATTTAATGCGGTTTTATTTTCATTCAAATGTTATGTCACAGAGCTAATCACAGTTATAGTGAACAGAATCATTATGGCACCTTTAAATGTAATTTATGAGCACTCAGGAAGGAGAATGGAGCAGTGACAATTCAGCAGTAATGGAAAGTGAAGGAAAGATCTTTATTATGATCTTTACAGACATAATAATCCTAATGCATTTGCCTTTTCATAGTTTGTATTACCGATATAAAACAAGAACAACAAAAAAAGTCCCAAGTGTTATTGCTTTTATGCAATAATAATAAAATCAAGCTAATTTCTGATTTATTTTTTTTTATCGTACTTTAAACACAGTTTCTTAATTTAATGTTAATCTGTTTAATTCTTTGCATTTTACAAAAGTATTTGCAAGAATTATTTTTAAAAGCTGTAAAGTTATTTTAGTAAATGCACAAGTTAAAGTGCATTTACAAAAATAGCTCAGTGTCAAGGAGATGATTCCGATGTGTGAGTATGTACAGGCCCTGCCCAGTTTCTAAAATTAGTTACCTATCATTGCAATTAAGTTGTAGGTTATGTCTCGGCACGCTATCATTCATTAACAAGAAGCACATGAACACACTGCAAAGCTTGGACAGGATGGCCTCAAACACAGATTCAACAGGGTTTTCTGTGCCGTCACCGTCTCATCTGAGCTGAGGATAGAAAGATAGCCCAATTTTATAATAATCAATCAATGAGTTTAGTCAGACATTCATAAAATAAAAATGCCTTGTGGTACTTACATTTCTACTGACTGCTCATGCCTCAGATTCATCGTGCACCAAATCAGCTGCATTCTTCAAAAGCCATCGATCCTTGTGTTGAGCGTGTCCAAATCCCTCATCGTAATTCCCCTTTCGTCTGAACAGTTGTTGGTAGTGAAATATGCAGTAGAACTCACCGTTTAAAGGTGCGTAACTGTACATGCTACAAATGAGCACAAGGTTTGTCAGTCATTGTTCAAAATAAAGAGAGCAGTGGGGACAGTTTTTGATTAACAGTCGATGTAAGCATCTTTCAGCTACTTCTTAAACATATTCTGGCATATCTCCACTTTTCTAATCAATAGTGGGAAACTTACAGGTGTTCCTAATCTGTACATTGAATCAAATTAGCAATTGCTATGTTATCTGCATCACATATTGGACTACATAAAATGTTTCAAAGATGAAATGTTTGGTGGCAAATGATAACGTTTAACTGCAAATGTCTATCTATCTATTCTAGCAAGCTCTTATTTTGTGTTGTTTGTAGCCTTAGCTTTGCTAGTAGTTTTATCCTGTAGCCTATATTTTAGTAGTAACCATTTGCCAAGTGGTTAAGTTAGCTCTCAGCTTTGTGAGCGGGAAATGAGAGAAGGAAAGTCTAAAAAAATGCCGACTATAAGAGCACATGAACATAGATCAGTTAATCATCATCACAGTGACACAGAGCAGATTGATATATATGATGTAGCATGCAAAACAGGGCTAAAGTCTTTAAGTTTTCTAAAATTTCACAAATTCTACATTAGCACACAAAAGACAGATTTAATCTATCTTTGTTTATTTCTTTTGACGACTTTTTAACCTGACAAAGTCGAACTGAACGGAGTTCATTATTTGAATGATTGTGGCTTAGTAATGATGCAAATGGAGAAACACATCATTTGTAGCATGTTAAGATCCACTAGATTTACAAAAAATTGTTGTTTGATCACAAACCAACAGTCTTATCAGCACAGGCTAAATATGGAAAATTCACAGGGCCACTAAGAAGACTTTCTAACACCACCCCCCCCTGCCTGTTTGTGGCTGAACTGCTGTGAGCTCGTTTTTTTTTCCCTCATTCCCTAGAGCCTTGTTGAATGAGGATTTGGGGAAAACAGTGTGTTGTATATTTACAGTTTATGCATCAGAAGACATTTAATAAAATACATTTCCCTGACACAGTTTTCAGAGATATGTGCAGACTGTGCAGTTAAGATAACAAACACTGGAAATATGGGAAAGTCTCTGTGTTTGTTTCTTTTATTTTTTGCTTGCCTGGTTTTGTGCGCAGTTGCATTTTGGCCAAGTTTTTACATGCTGCATCACATATCTGCAGATCACAAAATACATGAGTATCCAGTTTTTACATTCATAATTTAGTATGTTGTTTTTTTTTTTTTTTTTTAATATTTCAATTTAGTAATACATATTAGATATGTTAGATATTTACATATCTAACATATCTACTTACAGTTATAAAGTTATAAAGCTGGAAAGTTATATATATAAACATATAGACACTAATCCATCAGACAAGAGGAATCACTGATTAATGTTGCAGGTGATTTTTTTTTTTTGTAGAAGTCCAACATCCCACCTTAATTTTTTCTTGCAATGTTTGCAGCAGAAGCACGCTTTGTGAAAAAAGTATTTGTCTGCAGTTATTTTTTCCATCTGATAGACTGGCTTTAGACATGCTGAGCACATCTCTCGAGAAGCCGGTTGAAACTGAAGAAAAAAAAAAAAAGACTGACCTTTAGTTTTTTTAAACCAAAAGCATTTATAGTAAACCACAGTGAAATGAGAAGTGAAAATCAAATATATATTTTTACTTTGAAATGCAAATCACAGACAGTTTTTAAGATCAAAATAGATACAAAAGCAAAACCCCAAACTTTAAGCCTTATAATTGATCTCTTTTCATACACAGTCAGATATGTGACAGCTTTCACATAACGAACAGGTAAAACGCTCCTATTCGGGCACCAGTTTATCAGTCTGATTGATTGGCAGCTTCACTTCTGGGTCTGTGGTGACCTGAATTGTAGATGGACTGATTACGACATGCCTTGTGGACGATGTCACTGTTTCTGTCTGAGAGTTGACCACAGCGGAGGTCTTGGAAGAGTAAAACTTTGTTCCGGATTCTTCGGTCTTCTCATGTTTGTCGGTGACTGGTTTTGTTCCTGTTATACTGTTCCCGTCACAGTCTGTCTGAACCTCGAGCACCAGCTGTCGAGGACTGAGTGGGATGGAGGTGGATTGTTTCTGACCTTCTTTTCGTGGGTCATTTCTGTTTTGAGCAGGGCTGTTGCATATCAGTGTCTTTGTCGTCCGAAAAGTCTCCTCCAACTTTTGGCTCTGCTGGCATGTTGGGCAGATCAAAGCTTCTGGTGGTGCCAGGTCGGTTTTATCTGTCTTTCTAGCTGCTGATTGGATAGTGATAAACGCAGGTGAAGGTGGAGGGTTCGACTGAGGTTTCCCAGAGGCTTCATCAGTGCTCGCATCTTGCCTTGCTGAATTAGTTGTGTTTCCCTGCATGGTAGCACTTTTCAGTGATTTTGTTCTGCTTGACCCAATGCTAATTTTATTATCACCGCCAGAGGATGGGGATCCTTGTATTACCCCAAAGGATTCTTTGAACAGGCGTGATAAACCAGCAATATCTGAGTCAGATTTCAGTGTAGAGACGGAATAAAGTGCCTTCTTTATTGCTTCCTCTACATCGAGGATTCTTGCTAAAGTCTCCTCTTTAAGAGTCGTGATTTCCACACTCGCTCGCTCAAGATCTCCAAAAACGTGTGCCATCGATGGCTTGTTTTCAGCGTTTTCTCTTGATACTGGCAACCTTTCGTCTTTGTTGTCAGCTCTGACCTTGTTTTGTTTCTTTTTGTTAGAGCTGACAACCCAATCGGGGATGTTCTCAAATACTCTCCTCAGAGACCTTACATCAACCTCACTTGTGTCTTTTTCAATTTCTTCAACTCGGCTCAGAAAGCTCTGCAGTTCCCGCTGTTTTCGTAAGTTGTCAAATATTTCCATTGCTGCTGGTATGTTCCCTCTCACGATCTCATCCATGTGAACTGACAGTCGCTGTCGGCGCTCGTCGTCAGTCTCAGTTCGCCCTTTCTTTTCCCTCATCTCGACTTTGCTTTCTTGCTTCTTGATTTCTTTCTCATGCTTGTCTCGACTGTCAGTGGTTTCTCCACAGGTGTCACATGATTGATTGCTTGTAATTTCTGCCACATCTGGATCCACATGTGCAAGAACAGACATTTCTTTATTTCCAGCCACTGGTTTCAGGTTTTTGTTGTCTGGTTGGGGGATTTTCAGTCTTTTGGGCTTTACAGGGGCAGTCTTTGTCTTTTTACCTCCAAATTTCTCAAATGCATCATGGAAATCTATGTGACTTTCATCTGTTTCACTCGTATCACTTTTGGCTGCTAAATCCTGGGTTCTTTTCTCCTCTGCCTTGATATCAGAATTATTTTGGGTTGACTCATTATTGCTTTGTTTCTCCTTCAGATGTTCTGGTTTAGGTGGAATGGCTGGTTTTGGACCAGTAGGCTTTTTGCTTTTCTCTAAAATGAGTCTCGTTGTTGGGTTACTCTGGGTTTCGTTTTGGTGTGGAGGCTCTGGATTTGCTCCAGTTGCCTCTTGCTTCACTGATATTTGACTTGCTTCAGTTTCAGTCACAGTGAAAAGCTCGTCAGCACTGGTCGTTTGAATAGACACCACATCCACGTGTTGCGCTTTTTCTCTGTGAGGCTTTGAAGAGTTTCTGTATATCATAGCTGCTTTAAAATCTCCTCTTGTGACATTAACGTTGGATCTTTCTAAAGATTGCAAAGCTGCTTTAATTTTACCGTGAAAAACAACTTCCTCATCCTCCTGTTGCGCAGGACTTGTTTCCAAACTTTGTGTAGTGACCATAGGAGTTTCTAAAGGTTGTTTCTGCACCCCCCCTGCACCTTCCTGGCCTTTGTTGCTGCACGATTCAGGAGTGTGTGTTTCCTCAGGAGTAGCATCTTTGTGGCTTGTCTCTATATTTTTGTGCTGATAATCTGTTTTCTGTGCTGAGGTGAAGTTTTCTTGAGAAAATCCTTCTTCTACTTTTGAGCGTTTCACAGTATCTGCTGTAACCGAGGGAAAGAGCTCCTCAGATGATTTCTGAATAATAGTCTTTTGTTTTTCTTGTGATGACTGATACAGAGCAGTTTGGAGGTTAGAGATCTGTTCGTTCTGATCTACCATCTTGACTAATTGAGCTTCGTGCGCACCAAGCTCGTGATCTTCATCAGTACATTCACTGCTTGTATAATTTTCCTGCACATGAGATAATACCCCAGAACTGCATTCTGTAGAAACATTTTGACCTGCGTATACATTTTTGTGGATCTTTTTCTTTGGTTGGTGTTGACTTGGGTCTCCAGAGAACATGCTTTTAAGCCTCTTTACATCCACGGGTACCCACTCAGTAGTTTCCTGCACTTGATCACTTTCCTTTTCATGAAGAACTTCCTGTCCAGCCATAGTTTGGTTTTCAGGGAGTTCTTGAACTGCTTCTTCAGTCTGAAGACTTTTTAAATACTCAAAATCTCCCTTTTCAATGCAGCTTTTGAATAGTTTTACACTACCCTTTACTTTCCCTTCAGGTGTTATTGATCCTGGGCATGTTTGTTCTTGAGAGAGTTCAAGTAGATCACCTTGGACTGACTTAGTAGCAACTTTTATTTCTTTATGGCCTTTTTTACTCATGTCACCCCTTTCCAGCTCTGATTGATCACATTCAGCACATTTTGGAGGGACGAAGCTCTTCACATCCTTCTCATCATGGTATTTGTAGAGGGAGTAAACAATGACTTTGGCACAGTTGTTGTCATCGTCTTGGATTACCACTCCTTTTCTCAGAGAGTTATCTTGATTGAGAATATCCTCAACAAGCTGAACCACACTGGCAGTTCTGAACTCCGTGTCCTTGTTCGCATTGAACTGCTGCTGTTGAACAGGCGCCGTCACCGCCGTGGTCTCGATATCCCCTTTGCTGTCCTCCTTTAGGTAAGTGACCTGAGGTTTTAGGTTTACCCGTGGTAGCAACTGGAGTATGAAGTTTTGGGCACCGCCTTCAGCCACCTCGTCATGTTTTATCTCAGGCCCACTCTCGGATAGTGTAAACTTAGCTTTTTTAGCAATCATTGTCTCATTGACCTCAATGATAAAGCCAAACGATTGGATGACTCTAATCTGGTACAGGAAATTCAGCGTTTCCTTGATGTTCTCCACCATTGTCTCAATTTCATCCTCGTTCTGACGTCTAATTTTGTCAAATGGCATTGATTCAAAAAGATGGGTTCTGTTTTTAACATTGGTGGTCGTGTTGTCCTCACTTGCACCGCTACCGCTTGTGATTTGAGTTTTTGATGTATGCACAACGGAGGGCTCTCTTTGTATGTTGGTGGAGATAAAGGGATTGTTTTGAAAAAGAGCTGCCCTTGTTTTAATAATTTCATCATTCTTTTCCAAATCGGATAAGCTTATAGACTCCTCTTCAAAGAGTGCCTCCTCAGTGGAAAACTCATCGTTACATGAGAAGTCGTGTTCAGTTCTTTGACTGACATGAGGACATGGTTGTTCACGGGGCTCTGTTGCTAAATCATTGCTTGTGCTTTCATTTTTTCTGTGTATACTCTCACTACAAGCCATTTCAAATTGCTTTTTTTGTTTTTGGACTTCCTTTGTCTCATCCCTGTTAATAGAAACCTTTCCCTGGAATGTTTTACCCAGATTTGGCCCAGACATGTTCACAGACTGACTCTCAAATATCCTTCTGGTAGCCTGAACGTCTAGTCTGACCGTCTCTTCCTCACACTCTCTGTCAGTGTCTGGACTAATACCAAGAGATTTTTCAGCTTCCATAACCTCTTTAGCACTTTCTGCACGAGGCGTTTCTTTTGTTTCCTCCAGAACAGCCAGCGTTTTACTAAAATCACATTGTTTCTCACGTCCCCCTTCCATGTGCATCTTGGGGGTGTAGTGAGACACTTTGTTACTCGAGCCACAGTTCTCAAATATCAAGCGTTTCGAAAGGACCTCTCCCTCGTATCCGGTTACGTCAGCTGTCATCCTCTCTGAGCTCAAAACTTCAGCAAGCTCTTCATCCACAACATCATCCAGCATCTTCAGCTCTGGATGGGTGTGCTTCAGCAGACGCCTCAGTTCACATTTCTGCCTCTGTTGGTATAACATTTCTTTGGAAAGCTGGGGCAGATTAGGTTGCGGAGAATTTGTCCCACAGCTTTCTTCTAATTCTGGCTGATGTCTTGCTGAAGGAGGTAATGGTAAGTCCTCTTTCTTTTCTTGGACACTTGAGTCTTCTGACATCTTAGAAGAACAAAGGAATGTTTCTTACTGTTTCATCCATTCAGAGAAATTCATGCTCCAGAGCAGTCACACCTACTCACAGGAATGAGAGCCATGCCAGGTGATTTGTTTTCCTCATGCCACGTGTTAGCTGGTTAGCTGAACTCCAAAGCAACCAGCAAGTACAACCACAAATGCAACCACAAAATGAGTAAAAAATAAAAGCGTGAGGAAGTCTGTGAAGGGAATCTGTTTCTTTATTTTGCAGGTAAGCAGCATATTTTGGATTTTTGAGCCAAAGGGAACACGATACTGCTCGCTGTGCAAATCCAGTGTGCACAGAACAATGTGCATCAATCACAACATCATGCAAGACCACAGTGACATTGCACTTTACCTTGATTTGGCTTACTCTTTTCCCAGACTCACGTGACACTTTTCGTTCCTGCAAAGAAATAATAATAATTTTAAAAATTACATCAGCATTATTGTTTGGCTGCTGCCAGAAATTCACTTATCAATAATTAATTTATGATATATTATGATGACATATAGATAACAAACTTCAATGTGCAGCTGAAAATCTACACTATAAAGGGTGGTGGAATAAACCTTTAACTCTTTACTTTCATTGCCAAAAAATTATTTAGTTTTTTTTTTTTTACCTTGCATAAAAATCTCTGAGATAATTCTTTCAGTGTGTAAACTTTAAACAAGTTTACTTTCTATAGTTAACAGTGAACTAAAAAGAAGGGGAGATGTAACGAGTAAGCTGACATGTACCAATTTTACAGGACTGTTTGCAGATTCCTTGGTTCCCGCTTTGGACAGATAGAGAGCTGATATTGCTTTCACCGAGACAGAAAGTTTCTCCTTGGTTTGGACGAAAGAGCTGTCTCTGAAGTCTGCAGCTGACCTCCTCTTTTCATCTGCAGAGACATCAGACACGGGATCTTTAATGTTGAATTTTGTTATGGCTCTGTTTAAAAGTCAAACTGATCAGGGTTGTATCGTGACATTTTCATCATCGCCATCATCGACACGCAGCCAGATTGGAAATAAGTCGTGGCTCGTTTAACAACATACGGCTGACGTCTGTGTTATTAACAAACGGCTCGTGCTGTTTGTTAATAACACAGGTCCCAATTCGGGGTCCAGCACTTTCGAAGCTGATATTTAACAGCTGTCATGTGGCTGAGTTATAAATGTACTGCTTGTTGTGGAGCAGGAGAGATACCCGACTCTGCTGACACGCATACTAGTTAAAACAGGCAAGTCACTGCAACAACGGTTGACTAAGCATCGAAGTTCAAAGGTAAACAGACGTGTCTCAAAGCTGTTTATGAAAGTACAGATACTTTATAAAATCATGAGTCCACAAGCTGGAAAACACGGCAAAACATTCTCTGCGACCAAAGAACAAGAAACATAAAACTCATTTCAGTATCAGTTAACTAATATTACTAATAGCTACTAATATTTCCAGATTTGGGCAACTGTTAAAAATGTGAATAATAGCCATTAGTTTTCACCTTCTACCATACTTAGTGTATTAAGCTTCTTTAAGTGCATGTTCCACTCCTTTCATTCAAAAATACAAATCTCTACTCACAGAAGAAGAAATATTCCCAGTTCCTTCCTCTCTATCTTCTTGGTTTCTTCCAAACTTTAGTTGTCTGTTGGTTTGTGTCGTGTCATGGAGCCTCTGCCACTCGCTCCTTCTTTCTGTCCCATTCCTCTCCAGGAAACAGCTGACCCTTTCACCCTCCTGCACTTATTCTGGTCTTGTAGCACACCAGCTATTTCTGTCCGGTTGTGGAGTGGCTTACTATTCCTACACTAAGTTGAGTCATCCAAAGCTTTGACCGTGCTCCAAGGCACGTCTAACGTCTTTTTTGTGCCCAAAGATGTTTCTTTCAGAACAAATTTTTGAAAGAGCCACATATGTTTATTTTCTTTCTGATATTTCCATCTTAAGCTGAATCGTCTTCAGCAGTTTGTTATTTGACCCTGAATTTATAGAACCAAACCATATTCATCATAGTTCACTGTTTACTCATTACCTAAATCAAGGCGCAGTATTTCCCGGTTTTATCAGCTGGTCTTTTACCTGGAAGGTTGCACTTTGAAGCTCGCTGTAACTGCTTTCATTATAGCAACGTGTAATTTATGACATGAACTCGCGTTGTTTGTTTATGTTGCTACTCACGTATCCCTAATCAAACTGTAAAAAGTTTTAATCCTAGCTCTGCTGATAACTACTCAATAAAGAGATAGTCCTTTAATCTTAGAAAAGTGAAACTATTGTTCTGAATGCTTTAAAAAAAACATTCATTTTGTCCGTTTCTTTCACATGATAGTAGGCAGGGTAATATGATATTCAGGCTGACACAACCAAAGCTTTGCTGAGCTAGAAAGAAGATACTCACCAGCTTGAGATGCTGCAATTTTTTCAAAATCAATACCCCCTATTGTTCTTCTCCTCTCTGGCTGAGTCTGATTTACTACCTATAGAGAGAAACAATAAAACATCACTGCTGCTAAGTAAACTCATTGTACATCATAGTTTCTATGTGTCAATACAGTTACATGAAAAATCCAAGCATTACTAGAAAAAATATGCTATTATATGAATGAGAAAGAAGTAAGGATTCATTAGACCTAATGCAGGTCAAGAACCACTGAAGTGTGTGATGGATGAGCCGATCTTTTGTGAAACAAGTGCTCAAAACGATGTTCAAAATTAATGATTTTTCTCACAAACAGCTGAAAACACCTTATTAACTGTTAAGCAGACAGGAAAATGAAGTGTTTTCAGTGTGTGTGGTAGTTATTGGCAAGGGAAACGCTGTGCAGCTAGGAGAGAGAATGTATTCCACCAAATGTTGGGAAATTCTAAATGCATGCGTCTTCGTCTTCTTCTTCTTCTTCTTCTCCTTCTCCTTCTCCTTCTTCTCCTTCTTCTTCTTCTCCTTCTTCTTCTTCTCCTTCTCCTTCTCCTTTTAGGGTTCTCACCCTATCTCTAACATCTTTCTGCATCTCATCCTTCACTGCATGAATCTTTGGTGGGGTCTTCTGCACATGTCCAAACCATCTCAGCCTTGTCTCCCTAACTTGTTTCCAAAATGCTTAACTTATCCACCAATGAAAGTCTTAGCATCTTCAGTTTTGTCAGCTCCAGTTTTTTTTTTTTTTACCACTACCACTCTGTAAACCTTCTTTTCCACTCTTGCTACTATCTTTCTGTCACAAATGACCCCTGCCACTTATCTCCACACAAAAGATCACTCCAAAAGTTCCAGCTTCAGTTTCTTAAACTATTTAGCGGCAGCATAATACTGAAAGTGAAAAGGTGATGGTGGTGTGAAATACTTCAAGATGACTGAAGCTGGAATTTCTGGAGTGAAATCAATGAAAGCTTTGTTTATGCATCTTTGCACTTCAAGAAAGAAGAAAGGAATATTTGCTGTATTTACAAATATATATAAAAAAACCCATATTTTTCACATATGCTTTCATCTGTAAATATTAAATTTTTTTACCCTTTAAACTAACTGTGGGTCTATTAGGGAATCTTGAAGTAATAATGAGGTTGTATTTACCTTTCGAGTTATACGATCATCCTTCATATCAGTTTTATCAGTGCATGTTTCCATTCTCTGTTCCTCCACAGCGATCTGTACATCCTCAACCTCTCCGTTCATCTTTGATACGTCTGTCGTGTAACTTGATGTGAAGTCTGCAGCTCTAAGGCTGGTCTTTGCGTTGTTTTTAAGAGAGGCCTTTGACTCAAACAGAGCTCTCAAGGCCTCTATGGACCCTGTGCTGCTTTTAAGGCTGCTCATTGATTTGCTGCGGGTCAAATTGGTTTTGGCTCGAGACTTTTCCTTCTCACTGTTTTTCCTCATCAGAGCCTCCAGATGAGTCTCTTTACTTTCCAGTCGAGATGGCGTTATCTGAAAAGGATACACAAGGGAGGGAAGTGTGTGTAAATCCAGCTGCAGTGATTATTCTTTTTCCTGCTATGCCATTGATGCTTTTCATTAATTGGACAAACAGCTAAAAAACACCAGAAGTTACCTCCTTGAGCACCTGGTTTGGCTTTCTGTCATCATTATCTACTGAGGGTCCTTGAATGGATTTGTTCCCTTTCACAGCAGTTTGATATCTGTCACAAACACCGCATTAATGATTTGATGTCACTAATGACCTACAAGTAGCTTAGAGGGGTGCACAGATACAGAGAGACTGATGCTTTTTTTTTTTTTTTACCTGGCAACCAATTGGGACACTGACGTCGTCTTGTCCCGCAGCCCCGCATCCGTCCAGACTGGCTTGTCACATGACGAGCTGAGGCTCTTCAGCGATTGGGTACGCCTAATATTGCTCTTCCATTCCATGATCAGGTCACGGGTGCACACAGTTTGGATAAATCGCCTAGAATACAGACGCATAATCGATAACATTTGATTATGCTTACATTTCAAGTCCCATAACAAGCATTTATCTTCACTTCATTCAGCTCCACTAACTCACAGGTATGAAATGCCTTGACATCAATAATGCATAGCTCTCAGGGAGTGAGAGAGAAGGATTTGGACGTGTGCCTTTCAATTTAACAGCGATGCAGAGTGCAGCAACTGCTCAATGTAAAGACACGAACTCGAGTTTGATGAAAGCGAGATGACGGCGTAAGTAAAGGAAGTTTCGAGAAGAATAGTTACCTTACAGATGTCGGTCAGTGTCTGCTCTCTGGGAAAATCAAAACACTTCCGCAGCATCACAAGACCTGCACACGGTATAAAGGCTCTGTGAGCAAAGTCCTTTTTCTTCCTCATTACCTTCGACTGTAAAATGTTCGATGAGTTGCAAACCGGGTGTACTCTAAATCCACTGACGTTATAAATTAGGAAAACGTTTATCCTGCAATTCTCATTTTGCTCTACCGTGTATCAAACAGCTATTGCATTGTGTTGTGGCTCCTGCGCTCTCAGGGGAATCATTGATGTTGGATTTCAGATTAGCCCTCTGATGTAATTGTGTGATCTTTGAGCAGCAGTACACTCTCTATTAAGTAAAAATTAGATGTACTTTATTGATCCTGAGGGCGCCTGGGCCATTACAGCTGCAATGTGGACAAAGGAGAAGCATGTAGAAGGCATTATTAAATCAAAGGAATTATGATGATACTCATCTTTCATGCTGACAGAGCGACCTGGTTACAGATTTACAGATTTATCGCTATGTGAGAGTAGTAGCAGTATTTTGACTGTCCAAAGTTTGCACTGTTGTGTTCAACTGAAAGTTTCTTAAGCAAAATAGAGAATCAGGAAGAGGAAGGAAGAACAATAAGTTAGATACAAAAAAGCATTAAAAAAACAAACAAAAATTCACATATGTGCAGAATTCCCAACGTTAACACACCATTATAGCAGTTTGGCTGTTCATGGAAACGGCTCATTATGAGGTTATGAGGCTCTTATACTTTAACTGTGAATAGTTATGCTTGTTGAAGACAGGCCAGTGTGTAGATGTGAATGTATGTAAATCAGTGTGGATCCAAAGTGGGCCAGACTAGTGAAATTCCCCCTTTCTGTCACTGTAAGCAAGTTTAATGCATTTAATCCCCGAAGTGCATTCTCAACTTAGTTTTTCAAGAATTGCTCTTGTAGTAAAGGAAATAAGTCTTTGAGGACTACGCTTGGAAATGTAAGAAATAAATGTGTAGCTCATTGATCAGACTGACGTATATTTCTAAAACATGTTTGTGTTAATTCACAAAAAGATTTTTTTTTTATAGATAGTGAAGGAAAGGGAAGTTTTCTGTCATTTAGTTATCTATTAATTACTGTGGTATAGTATGAATGGCCAGGTAGAGATGTTTAAAAAATGTAAAGCTGTAAAAATACAGTAAAACATTCCAAAGTTGATCCAAAGCCATCCAGTGGGCCAGATTGGAGTCTTTGCCAGGGTCTGGCCTTATGTTTGACACCCCTGATTTAAATAATTTTAAGGAACTTTTTCAGCATTTACAACGTTGTCATTTTAAAAAAATATTATTTATAAAATTAATTTATAAAAAGTCATTAGCTTTGTAAAAACCTCTTTGGAGGCCCCATTTACAAGGCTCTTATTTTAAATCAGATTCCAAGTTGCTGACTTTCCTTTGGTTTCAGGAAGCCAAGGGAGGAGCAAGTGTTGAGTAAATGTGTCTCCACCCAAGAATTCCAAGAGCTCCTGACCCCAAAGTGTCAAATGAGAGAAGGAGTATTCTTGCTGACAGCATCAATACTAACGCAGGATCCCCCAACCAGAATTCACTGCCACACGCTGCATTATAATGTCTGTGAAATGTGTACGCAGACTGCCAACCTGTGAATCAAGCCCATATAAACCACTGCTGGCTTTTCCTACAGCCATAGCCACAGTGTGTATGCAGACACAGCAACTCCCAACCCCCCTTATGTTAAATAATGCGCAATTTTTGATAACTGTGCCATCTTATGGTGAGATATATTTACTGCAGTAAATCCATACAGGTTAAGTAATGTGTTTAAAGCTGCATTTAAGGTATTGATTTTTTTGGCCACTTGGGGGCAGTGAAACAACCTGAACATTTACATATTATGGCTAATTTATTATTTGCTGTTTTTCTGTATTTTTGTGAGTCTGCGCTGTGAAACACAGAGCAGTTACATTTTCTATATAGTTAAAATATACACGAATTGCTTTGATTTTTAAGGTAATCTGACTGCAGACACGTCTTTAAAATTTTTTTTTAATTGTATTGAATTAAGATCTTCCAGTGTGTAAAGTCTAATTTGAATGTGGTGGTATTTAGATTCTTACCCGATCTGAGCACATTTTTCGTGTGTCTTTTTTAATTAATTAAATAAATAAATTATTGATTTATTACCTCCATTTCACCAAGTAGATGTTATAGACAATGGAAGCTTTTGTCAGAGCTCACAATTCATATTCCCCCTCTTTAGTCTTGCTTTCTGCTAATCAGTCTTCAAACAAAGAGAGAGCAACAGCAGCAGCACACACCCCTGGGGCAAAACTGTGAGAATCAGCCTGGTTGTCTCTCCCCCCCGCCCTCCCCCCTCTGACTACAGCCCTCATCCCTCCCATCTAAAACCCACTCCTGTCTCTGAGGCACCAGGGAGATGAAAGGGAATATGCAATGCGCCGCCTTTGACTGCGAACTGTGCGGCGTTATTAGGGGAAGTTTACTGGCCTTGTCTGCGTTTTAAACACACTTGCTTACATCAGGCAAGTGTTTACAGGGAGGTTCCGTGGTTGATTGGTTGGTGTGAGCCTTTTAGTACATGCAGATTACACTCCGTGTCTGATCCGGGGCTGCAGAGAGCACCAGCAGACGCACACTGATCTCTCTCTCTTACTTACTGTCCTTTCTCACTGTGCACAAGCAACTAGGAGAAGAAGCTCGGCCATATTTCAACCCGATAACATTCGTAGACCAGCAGAGGGCGCAAAAGACCACCGATGGGCACAGCTGTGTATGTTTCTCAGCCACATTCGGGTTATGTGGGAACATTACAGTGAGGCTATTCAAGGCCAAACTAGGTTATTGCAGTGCACCAAAATAACTCACAACATACAGCAGCGAGAACAGACAGCAGAGAGCTGTGGAAGATAAGGTCAGCGCTGCTCAATAAATTACGTCGTGCATGAAAGTATTTAAAATAAATAAATAAAAATCCCAGACAGTGAAATTCATTTAGATGCAGGGTAACTCTTCGTGTACCAGACAAATAGTCCCCTAGTCAGGCGTTACCTCACTTAAACCTGCTGCAGTCGTGCATTTCTGATGGGCCCTGTCTGCATCACAGAGGAGCCAGACTGTGGCTCTGTGGTGTTTGCTCATAGGCTCGTGCACGAGAGTGACACACGCGCGCGCGCGCGCAAAGACACATCACGCACCTCATATGGCCAGCTGTCATGAGTTTGCCTGAAATGGATAATATGCATGCATTGTGACACAGCGTGTGTGCGTGACTCAGTACTGGCCTGTGTGCGCGTGTGTGTGTATGTGAGTCATGCTGCCGCTACTAGTGATACTGCCCAACATGTAATTGAGGTAATCTAGCTGCTGTTCATTCAGAATATTCATGACATATGTGGAAGAAAAAAAACAGGCTTAAAAGATTAATTATTAATCATTAAAAATTAAGCAAGTAATTATTGTTACCACAAGCTTCTGCTAAGCAGTGTGCTGCACCTTGGATTATTTCTTTAACCACACATTCTTTCAGATCATTTTTTGGCACATGTTGGGATATCTTATTTATTCAACAGTCATTTCTTGGCCAGATCACTTTGATGCCAGTAGGAAGCCCAATTAGTTAAAAAAAAGTTCCATCTGTAGTTTAGATCTCAGTCTTCCTTTTAGACTCAGACCACCCTTGAAGAGGCTTATACAGACAGCTACAAAGAGAGGTAACTTTAGTTTGCTGGTTTTTCTCTCGTGGTCAAACTTTGATGCTGTGTTATTTTGGTAGTTTTACATTTTCCGTGGCTTTCGTATTTAACTTATTTGTTCTGGCTTTTAGGCTAAAGGTGACTGCGTCGGGCTATATGAGTGCATTTCTTCTGTGCAGTATGCAATCGAAAGTCTCTGGATTAAATGTAGTAAATGCAACACATTCAGATCACTTTGATTTTTTTTTTTTTTTCATTTAAATTCATACAATAACTTAGTTTGCTCAGTGTGTTACTGGCTTTCCTAACATTCAGACATTTGAGACAGAAATCCAACATTTCTAACGAGCTATACAGCACAGATTTTTCAGCATCTTTGAAACACATCTGCTCCGCCGCAATATGCATTCTTGTGCGTTCATCTGTTCTTCATGATGTGTTTTTGACGTAAGAGCAAATGTTCTGTGTGTGCATCCAAAACAGAAGTATTCACACAGAGAAAGAGAGAGCAGATGATGGTTTCCGGATCGTGCTGCCAAATGTGTAAAAGACGTGGAAGATGCACTGTGTGATGATTTGGCTAAAAAATAAGAAATGCAAGATTCTTTTTCCTACTGACGTGACACTTCTAATCTAATGTTTCACGTATAGTGCTGTCAACCTTTAATAAATGAGATTAGTCATTGATCCAAAATGCTGCAGAGAGAGTAGTGTCAGGGACTAGAAAGGGAGAGCACATTTCTCCCATATTGGCTTCTCTTCATTGGCACGCTGTTAAATAAGAATCAAATGTAAAATCCTTCGCCCCACATACAAGGTCTTGAATAATCAGACCCCATCTTATCTTAAAGACCTTGTAGTACCATATCAACCCAGTAAAGCACTTTGCTATCAGACTGCGAGCTTACTTGTGGTTCCTAGAGTATTTAAAAGTAGAATGGGCGGCAGAGCCTTCAGCTGTTAGGCCCCTCTTCTGTGGAACTGGCTTAGGCCCCTCTTCTGTGGAACTGGCTCCTGGTTTGGATTCGGGAGACAGACACCCTCTCTACTTTTAAGAATAGACTTAAAACTTTCCCTTTTGATAAAGCATATCATTATGGCTAGATTAGGTGACCCTGAACCCTCCCTAAGTTATGTTGCAATAGGTTTAGGCAGTTGGGGGCTTCCCGTTTCTTGTTCACTCACTATATGTTTACACCCTCTCTGCATTCAATCATGAGTTATTATTAATCTCTGGCTCTCTTCCACAGCATGTCTTTTGTTCTGTCTTCTTCACCTCACCCCCAACCTGTCATGGTAGATCGTTTTCCTCCCTGAGCCTGGTTCTTCTGGAGGATTCTTCCTGTTTAAAGGAAGTTTTTCCTTCCCACTGTTGTCAAGTGCTTGCTCTTATGGGGTCCTT